TAGCGAATCCCAAGAGACGTTGCACATCTTTTACTTGACGAGGGGGTTCCCAACTACACAGAGCCTCCACCTTACACGGGTCCATGGCAATGCTTTCGGGAGAAATGATATGTCCCAAGAACTCTATGGAAGTTTGGAAAAAGAAGCACTTCTCCAGCTTCGCATAGAGTCTATGCTCCCGAAGATGTTGTAATACCTGGCGGACTTGGCAAAGGTGGCTTTCCCTGGAATTGGAATAAATCAAAATGTCGTCCAGCTACACCACCATGAACCGATCAAGCATGTCCCTAAAAATATCATTCATGAAATGTTGAAAGACCGCAGGGGCGTTGGTCATTCCAAAAGGCATTACCGTATATTCAAAGTGGCTGTATCTAGTACCAAATGCCGTCTTCCACTTGTCTCTTTTGCGCATCTGCACCAGGTTGTAAGCCCCTCGAAGATCGAGCTTGGTGAAAATAGTGGCCTCTCATAGTCATTCCATCAACTCGGGAATGAGCGGCAAAGGATAACTATTTTTCACCATAATGGCGTTTAACCTGTGGTAGTCACAACATAAGCGCAAGTCCCCCGTCTTCTTTTTCATAAAAAGGACAGGAGCAGAAAGAGGAGACAACGACGGTCTGATAAACCCCCGGGCCAAGTTCTTATCCAGAAAATCTCACAGAGCGACCAATTCAGGCTCAGACAGTGAATACAAACAACCCTTGGGTAGCGGAGCATTGGGCAGGAGGTCCACAGGACAGTCATAAGGTCGATGCGGGAGTAACCGATCCGCCTCCTTCTCACTAAAAACATTGGAAAAGTCAGATAGTTCAGGAGGTACAGAGACGGCGGGGGCTGCGATGTCTTGACCAGCACAGATGTGTCTTAGATGGTCCACACACTGGAGACTTGGGAATGAAATAGCGTTCTGTGCCCATGCTACCCAAGGATCGTGCAACCGTAGCCAAGCCATTCCGAGAACCAAGGGAAGATGGAGGTCTGAGGTGATATAAAAGCTAATCGCCTCCTCATGGTCCCCAATGACCAGGCGTAATGGCTGAGTAGCAAAACGAATAGGCCCAGACCGCAGTTCCCGCCCATCAATGGTTTCCACTTTAATGGGAGGCTCCACAGCAACCAAGGGAATTTTATAATGGGTGACAAAAGCCCGGTCCATGAAATTGGTAGTAGCCCCCGAGTCCACCAACGCCACCGCAGGAATCCCTTCCGACCGGACTGCAAGAAAACCTGCGTGTCTAAAAGCAAATGTCAGGGAGGACCAGAGTTCACCTCTGCTACTTCGGGCGGTTGTGTGGTATGTGCCCGACCTAGGGTTTCCCCGAGGCTGGGCCTGCCCCGTTTCCTGATGGTACAGGATGAGATTTTGGCACTGGCTTTCGTACCCCCCCCGTCGTGTAGCAGGACAGGAACTGGCAAAATGTCCTGACCCTCCACAGTACAGGCACAGGCCTCCCTGAAATCTCCGTGTGCATTCTTGTGCTGTCAACCGAGGGCGGAGCGCAGCCAACTCTATCGGTTCCTCGGTCCTGGTCACAGCATTATGGGATACCAGGGGCGTTGGTTGTACGGGAGGTTGCGGCCATGAGTGGGAGGGCGGCTCCGGAACTGGGCATCTGATCTTGCGCCGTTGAAGCTGGGCGTCAATGCGCAAACATTGCACCACTAACGCATCCAGGGTTAGAGCCGGCTCCACATGCACCAACTCATCTTGAATTTCTTCTGCCAAACCCTCCTGAAAAGCATCCATGCGGGCTGCCTCATTCCAAGCAGAGTCCATGCAGAGCAGACGAAACTCTGCAATAAACTCTTGCAAAGGGCGTTTACCCTGACGAATGACTTTTAAACGTCTGGCTACGGTTTGAGTTTTTATGGGGTCCTCATACATAACAAGTAAATGGTGCCAAAAGCCCTGATAGTCACTTAATAAAGGACTATTTTGCAACAACAGAGGAGTGGCCCATCTTGCAGCCGAACCAGACAAAAGACTGATAACATTTCCTACGGGGGGGGGGGGGAGGGGGGGTTAAACGGGGCTTGCATCAGCGTTAGATGATTAACCAGCTGGGTGACTTGGTTCTGCAATACCTGGTTGTTCTGCAGGAGTTGGTTAATCTGCTGCTGTTGCTGCTCAAGCTGTGTTTGGCTCATCTTGGTTAGAAGATGGGATGACGGTCCGGATCAAAAATGTTCTGTCTCACTTGTAGCCACAAGTGAGAGTCCAAATGTCCCAAAGAAATAAACACAAACAAATAATACCAGAAACCACAGAGTTATGTTTGTGGTCATGTGTGTGTTGAGATGTGAAACCTGGAACCACACTGCTTGCCAAACGAGAATTTTTATTTAAAAAATAAAAAATAGGAGAGGAAATTGAATAATGAAATTACTAGGTATGTCTAAATGATATGGTGATTGGCACTAGGAGAAAGTATTGAAATGTTGAAAAATTAAGCAATGAAGGATTATAATTTAATGTGAATATGTGTATCAAGAGATATGGTTGGTTTTATTAATTTTGTTTGTACTAAAATGTATGATGTATCAGTGCCACACTGTTTATGTATTGATGTGTATGTGTAGACTGAAACAAAAATACTTGATTAAAAAAAGGAAATAAACAAACATCATGGGGAAACTCTAGGGCAGAAATAGAGAAGAGGGAAGTAGATCTCATCATGATTTTGCAGCTAGCTGGATGCTGTAGTGTCCCAATTGAAAATGAATAATTGCTCAGGAAAGGGGAATAAAAGTGATTGAAACTGACAAATGTTGGAAAAGGAGCAAATAATCAACAAAATCCTTACTGTATTCAAGACTTTTCTTATTCTCTGGAAAGGCAAGGAAAAGCAATTTAATGGATTAATGTATTTCACCATACCGTTCAAGCAAAATAATGAGAGGCATCTGCTCTTTGTCCACACATAAGCTAGTAGAACTCTGCTTCCTCTTGCTTTAAGGAAATTGGAAGAAAAGTTGGTGACATAAACTTTTTTTTTCTTTTTGGAAGGGATGGATGGGAGATCTAAAATGAAATCAGAAAACAAAGTGTTAATGGAGATAGTTAAAGATCAGGAAATAAATGGCTGCAATGGAAGCAGACTTGTAACCAGATACTTCTATCACACCCAGAACTGGTCACTTGACTTTGTTTCTAAGGCAATAGATGTCAAAATATATTACTTTTTATGCAACTGGAGCAGGAATATGGGCACCTCAGTTGTGTGCTAGGAATGAAGGATTACACCTTCAGACCCAGGAGGGAAGAAGGAACATTGTGTTTTAGACTTGGGTTACTACATACATCCACTAATCTTAGTTCATTGATCACAGTACAGGTAGCAAAGTTATAACAGTTCATTTGGTGACTGTTCAAAGTTACAATGGCACTGAAAAAAGTGCCCATTATGACCATTTTTCACACTTACAGCTGCTGCAGCATCCCCATGGTCATGTGATTTACAGACAACTAGTTCATATTTATGATGGTTGCAGTTTCCTGGGATCATGTGATCACCTTTTGCAACCTTCTGACGAAGTCAAAGGGGAAGCCAGATTCATTTAACAACCGTGTTTACTACTTTAACAACTGCAGTGATTCACTTAACAAATGTGGCAGGAAAAGTCGTAAAATGGGGCAAAACTCACTTAACAAATTTCTCACTTAGCAACATAAATTCTGGGCACAATTGTGGTCTTAAGTATTGGACTACCAGTACATCACAAAATGGTACATGATTCCAACTAATATGTCTTCTAATGCCCTAGGTCAGGGGTGGTATTCAGCAGGTTCTGACCACTTCTGGAGAACCAGGAGCGGAAATTTTGAGTAGTTCGGAGAACTGGCATATACCACCTCTGATTGGAGGTTTTACAGCAGCCTTCCTCTGTCATGCCCACCAAGCCATGCCCACAGAACTGGTAGTAAAAAAAATTGAATCCCACCACTGCCCTAGGTTGTCTTTTATGTTTACAGTTTTCACATTTCAGCAACTAAAACTGGAATAAAACTATTAAGGATTAAACATTTTTAATCTGTCTAGGAAAGTTAAGAGTTTTGTGCTTGTTTTATATTTCAATAAGCCATAATTGGTTTATTTGGCTGTGGAGCAAACTCAATGGTTATTCTTAAGCTAGGTTATGAATAGCAGTTAAGAGTTCTGGTTCCACCTTAAGCACAAAGCCACCTGGGTGACTTCAGCCAGTCATTCTTCTCAGGTCTAGAAAGGAAGCAAGGACAAACCACTTGCCAAGAAAACTACAGGGAGTCCAAGCAGTCACCTGGAGGCAAGGCTGACTTGAAGGCACAAAAGAAGTGTGTGTATTTAAGCTACAGGACTGGAAATAAATCTCAATATACCAAAATACACTAGTCCTGTTTTTTTTACTAGTTAATAGGACATTTTAAGAATTTCCCCGCTTGTTTTTCCAGCCGCTTTGCATAAAGGAGAGGAGGTAGGCAGCATTCTTTCCAAAAGAAATTATCGGAAACAAACAATCCAAAACGTTGGAGCAAGAGAATTTGACAGTTGCCCAAAAGGGTTTTTCGTACTTGTTTACTATAAAGCAAAAACTTCTGTGCGTAAGACTGTGTGAAGTGGTTCCCTTAATTGTCGCGAAAACAAACAAGCCCAGGACTTCATTGTTCTTCCTGATCTGTTTTCCTTATAACCCAAAGGCACAGGCTCCGAACTAGTTGAACCTTCCTTCTCTTGCAAGGTTCAGCGGAATTGGTTGCTTTGGATTTGCGGGTGCGCCTCTTTTCCAGAATCCAGCGCAGGTCGAAAGAGGCGGCGCGGCGGACCCTTTAAGAGCCACGCAGGGCTCGCTTACTGGGTGGGAATAATTAGGAAGCAACACCCACCGACCCACCCACACCCCAAACGCCGACTTGCTTCGCTGAGCCTCCGGGCGCGAGGGGAGGCGGGGGAAACAAGAGAGCGAGAGCCGGGGAGGCGAGCGCGCGAGAAGGGGCGGGAGTTGAAGTGGCTGTACAGAAGTGGCGGCGGAGAGGCCCGGAAGAGTGGGGTGTGAAGAAGAAAGAGTTGCCAGGCCGGGCATGGGGCGCGGCGGGGGCTGTGGTTTGCTGTAGCCCTAGGCTCGGCCTGCGAGAGCTTCCTTCTTTCTCCTGCCCCCGAGCAGTCTGAGGAGGAGGAAGTGGTGTCGGTGCAGCGACCTGCTTTTCTCTATCTCCTAGCTGGGGTCGCGCGGGGCTATCGCTTCCTAAGCTCTCGCATCTCTGGGTTCCTGTTTAAGGGGGGGGGAGGTGTTTGTCCAAAAGCGGGAATCCGAGTAGTTGCTCAATTCTTCCCGTGCTCAGTTACAGGCTTCGGGCGGCACTTTCTGTAGATTGAACCCAATAGTCTTCTCTTCCGCCTTGAGAAACTTAGTGTGTGGCCTTTGTTGCCGTTTTGCTTCCCTCCAAGACGAGGGTTAAGTGGTTTACAGCTTGTCTTTGCCTGCCAGGCCTCTGTCCTACCATTTCTGAGGAATTCTGGCTCCTTGTCCCCCTTTCTCTTCCTTCCTTCCTTCCTCCCCTCTTCCCGCAGTGTCAAAACATAAACACCTGCTGCTGCCGAGAGTAGTTTAACCTTTGTCTTCGGGAGTTTACAGTTTGCTGAGTTTTGCATTTCAAATCAAGGTCCCGATTACTGCGAGGCTATTTGGTACTCCCCCCCCCCACCCATTCCCTCTTTCTGAATGTGCCATTTTTTAAAAAAAGAACCATCTACCTTTGTTTTTATTTGGATGAGATGAAAGTGACAGTTTGTTTTGGCAAGACGGGGATTGTAGTTCCTTGTAAAGATGGACAAATCCGGGTTAGAGATTTAACCCACCAGGCTCTACAGAGGTACTTAAGAACCAAAGAAAAGGTAAGTATTGACTTCTGCTGTAACACACTATAGGCAAAGTCACCTGCTACTTAACTATTCCTTGTGAAGTGTGATTGGCTTCATCTTTCCACTGCATGCATAGGCATTTTGAGCGGGGAAAACCTATTCTGAGTTTTTTTTAATGCAAAAGTTGCTAATATCAGAAATGACACTAAATAGGTTGAAATTGTGAAACTTAATCTTTTCTGTTTCTCTATCACATCTTTCATATGCTGATTCACCTTTAAATCTTAGTAATTTATACAAATAAGTCTGTGATCAGACTTAGATATTTAGATCTCATTAGTTATATGTGTGGTACTGCCCAATCATTAGCGGATACTAAAACTCAAAAGCAAGAGACCAGAGAAGTATTTTAAAGATGGCAAATAAAATTTTTGTGAATAAATTTGGGAGATTGGATGTAGAGAATTATTGTGTCGCTCAGTGTTTTCTTTAATGTCACTGTTGATCAATTACCAGAAATGGATTAAACTGGAGAATGTTATTCTCAATAAAAGACCTAAACATCTATATTAATATAGTTATTCCATTTACCAGATTCTCAAGAATGTTCTTCAAAAACATTCCCTATTCCCAGAACAAATAGACACAAGAACAGTTTTTTCCCCAATGCCATCACTCTCCTACAACAATTCCCTCAACACTGTCAAATTATTAAGTCTGCATTACTATTAATCCTTCTATCCTTCCTTTCACCCATCTCCTCCCACTTATGACTGTAACCTTGTTGCTTGTATCCTAATGATTTTTATTGACTGTTTCCTAGTATGATTTGATCGCTTATTGTATCCTATGACTATTATTAAGTATTGTACCTGATGATTCTTGACTCTTGATGAATGTATCTTTTCTTTTATGTACACTGAGAGCATATGCACCAAGACAAATTCCTTGTGTGTCCAGTCACACTTGGCCAATCTTCTCTTCTCTTCTCTTCTCTTCTCTTCTCTTCTCTTCTCTTCTATTGAGTGATGACTACTCCATCTACAACATTCAGGTCCTCTGCTCTTGAACTCATGTCCTCTTAAATAATGCATTGCAATTCCTTGTTTATCTCAGTGATTGGAAAAAGCCCAAATAGAAACAAGAGTCAGCCAATCTGAAGCTTCCATATTAATGTGTCTGACAATCTCTAAAAAAGCATGAAGATGTGGCTGAATTTTTATGATTGTGTTCTTTCTGTTTTTATATTACAAGCTGAATATGTCAATTCTGCCCTGTTTTCCTCCTGTCAGTCCCTTAAATTTCACCAATGGTGCAAACCATAATTTTTATTGACATCTGGATCTTATTTCTTCCATATTATTGATAGTATTTTTAACATCTGCTCACTTGATAGTTTAATTTGTAATAAAGCTATGCAGTGCTTTAGCTTCAAAGGCAAAGGGAACTTCAATATTGGGTTGCCTACATAGCACTTGCTTATAACTAATGAAAGCATCTGTCTTTTCCTTGCACTCTGTAGCTACAGGGAAAATATGATTTAAGGTACTACAGCTAGAGGCTATTGGTATGCCCCTGTATTTTCCAAGCATCTTTTTGCCTTTACATTTGAAGTATTGTGTAGCCCTTCCCTATAAGTTCCCAGACAGTATGCCTATCAGAGCCACACAATTAAGTAGATTAATTAACCCACAATTAAATGGATTACCACTTTTGATAAATGAAGATTGATAGTACAGTGACAGTTGCTGTTCTGTTCATTTTCTCAGTGGCCCGTCTGAGCTATTTTAAATAAAAGTGAATAAAAAGTGAAAATGTGGTCACTGGTCTGGAATTAGTCGTTGTATCCCATAAATCTAGAATCTGCCTCATGGTTCCTGTGGAAGAGCATACAAAAGTACTGTTGTTCATATGTCACCAGTATGAACAAATCCTCTTCAAAGGCTTGATATGGAAATGAATGTATTTGTGCTAATTTGTCTTTACCAGACTGTATAACTTTTACCAGAGTATAACTTCAATGTGTAAATTATGTCTAAGTAAAATGTAAATCAGGCACTCTCAGAGAGTTTATTTTTACTGTTCTGTAAACATCATGCAACTTAGACACCTGAGTATGTGCCATACCACCAATTTAGAATTGAGCTGATTGCAGGAACATTTTCTTGATGATGATGATGCGTATTCTAGGTAATCTTTTATCAAAAAGACCCCCTGTATATGGAAATCATTGAGAAGGAATCTAGGAAAAACTTCCAAGTTAGTAATTCTCGATACTTTGCAAAAAAAAAGTTTTTATACAGAACAGCACAGCACATTGAATTTGTTCCAATATAACAGTAAGCCACAATGCTTCTGTGTTCTGATCAATGCTACTTTATTTCTCCTTCATGGCTTCTCTTTTCAGAGAGACTATCTAAATCCATAATGTCTTCATAATTTAGTTTATATTATATCTGAACTGGAATTCATGGCTTGTTGCTTTTTTATTGGGTCTAAGTTTCTTCTTAGCTTGTTAGGAGATAATCAAGGAGAGGTATGATTGGAATATGACTCGTAAATCAGACATGTAAAATCTGAACTTCTAGAGTTACATACAGTCCCCAAATGTCTTGAGCACAGGCTCAAGTGATTGCCAAATTATAATTTTTAATGTGGAAGGAAAGTTGGATTTTTTTTTATTGGAGAGTGCTATTAATTTAATATTGAGGACAGATGCTCATGAAATACAGTTAGGTTTTGTTTTTTACCCTGCTTTTTTGCTCAGAGATGTTCAAGTATGCCATCAGCAGAGAGAGAAGACAGTTCACCACCTCTGCTGTAAACCTATTGCTAATAATGGTATCTGAATGTTTAACTCTTCCACTGACAAATCTAGTGAAACTTTTCAAAGATTTTTCTTGCCACTATTCCACTGGAAGGTGGCTTTTGACATAGCATGCAAGGCCTGACATGATCCTTGTATTGCTGGAAGTTGTACATCTGTATTTTTACATGTGTAAACTTTAAATTCTTGCCTTGTAATTCTAATATTAATATATTAAAGTCTTGAGTGAACAAGTGTTGAAACAATAGGAGACTGGAAAGTCTTGTACAATCTTACCTTTCTGTGAAACTTACAGCTCTCTTAGAAACTTGTTCATTGCTCAGTTGCATCAGGTCTTACCAGTTCAGTATATCTTTTTTTCCAGCAAATTATCTGTAAAAATTAAAATATTGGCATGAAATCAGAGTTATAGATGGGGATTGTGTTGGGTAGATAATTAAATTTTGCTCTTGAACAGTATTTTCAGAGAGGAAAAATGAAGACTTAGTTTCTTCTGCCTTTGATAAATGTTTTGAGTTATTAGTACTTAGTATCTGAAGTGCCTAATTATTCATCTCAAGCCTGAATTGACACTAGTAATTACTTAAGCAACTATTCAGATTCTTCAATTTATTTCATCAGGCAATTACAGAATTTGAAAGAAACATTCCTCAGTTCATTAGGTCATATTTGTAATGTATGAGGTTCCTCAGTTTAGTTAGGACTCCCAAGTCAATCTTTTTCCTGTATCCTCTGTGAGCTGAACTTTTAAAACAGACATTCTCCAGATGAGCTGTGAAGCGTATCCATGACTGGAGGTGCTTCTGTCTCTTGTCCGATAGGCTGGGCTTAATTCTGAGGACACTCCTCCTCCTCCACGGGGACTCCTCCTTAGTGTCCCCAGTTTTTGCTCAGCCTTCCCACGAACAGGCAGCTTTTTCTCTTACCTTGGCTGGAATAGGAGCAAAGACATCAACATCAGAAAAACAAAGGGTTTGATTGTAGCGTTTCAGCTGCCTTCGGGCTACATGTGTCAGCAAGGAGCCACAGGGAGCTTCCGAAGCAATTAACTGTCGTTTAATCTTGCTGAGAGTGCTATTGGTGCTCCAAGGGTGGATCGAGGTAGCGTGTTCCAAAACGCAACCCCTCAAGTTAGGAAAAACTTTCCCTTGCCATTGCTAACTGTAGTTTACAAGCAGCACCATTGCAAAACAGCAAGCATGGGTCGTGTTTGCACTAAACAATAAACGGCCCGAGGCTTTTCCCCCATGGAGAGAATGCTGGAGAGGGGCAGTATCAGCGCCTTTACCCCTCTCCGCTCTTTTTGGAGCCATTGGTGAGGCTTTTTGCCTTTGGATTGGCTTCCAGACAGGAAATTGCTGCTAAATCAGTCTCAGTGTGCCAAATTAACGGCCGGCACCATTTTGCATACAGATTGACTGCATGGGGGTTCACCAGCATCTGAAATAAATCAGCTGGTGGGAAGCAATATCCCAACCAGGGCTGTCTTTATACAGCCCCAAGGGGTCCTTCGGACTTAATCCTCTACCCTTGGGGTTTCACTGAAGAAATTTAGTTGGCTAAACCATCACAGACCATTCTTTCAGCAGTACAACAGCCAGCACCTAGGCCAAAGTCTGCCTGTGCTGTTGCAGGAATAATAATAATAATAAAACATATATTAATATTCATATTTTAAGAAAAAGAAAAACAGAATTAATATTAAGGGTTCCCTGCACATTCCTGGATATATATTCCTTATCTATTTTATAATTCAAAGATTACAATGGCAAGCAGTAGTAGCTCTAGAGCATCAACTACGAGAGCCATGTCTAGAGCCCAGAGCAAATCAAAGGAGTCTAAGAGACCTTCCAAGGCCACAGAGGAAGACGCCGAAAGGTGCCAGAAGGCACTTGAAAAAAAATGAAAAAGTACATGCGGGAGGCCAAGAAGAATAATCAACCTTCATCTCCCCTAAGGCCCGGTCCGGCTCAAAGCTCCCCTCCACTTCCTCCGCTGGATCTGTCAATTCAATTTAGATGAAACACGGTCCTACAAGATCAACCTAGCACCTCAACAGCAGTACCTGTACCACGAAGGGCCCCTGAGGCCACATTTACTCCAACAGCGGCAGGCCTCCATCCAGAGGAATCTCTCCCAGAGGAGATCCCTGCGCAGATGAGAGCTTGGATGGAGTTAGCGATAAGACAAGGCATCACAATGGGAG